TTCCACTCGTTGAGCCACCAGCGAAAAGACTGAATGTATTTTTGCGGAAAATGTATCAACTCCTCTGGGGTTGTTGTCCCGATGTAAGGGCACACAGAAACATCGAAGAGGGCAAAGCTGCAGCTGGCCCTGTAAAGTCAGCGATGTGCCGGCGTCCAACCACCCTAAGTAACTTCTGTGGGCAGAGCTACATAGGCGAAACTTCCCGACCCATCAACACCCGAGTGAAAGAACCCCAGACCTCTGTTACCAATTCTGACAGCAAATCAGCCATTTCCGACCACATCAAAGCAAGCCCCAATCATCAAATAGAGTGGTCTGACATCACCATTCTCTCTAACAAAAAAACAGACTTCACTAAACGCAAGCTCACCGAAGCCATCCACATCAAACGCCAAATGCCCACCATCAACCGAGACCAAGGATACTTCATTCCATCCGCTTATGATGCACTCATCCACCAAGCCCAATCTACTGTATAAACTCTGCTGTATAAACATCTCATTATTATTTGTACATCATTGGCTTCCATGCCTGTCCTTGGTCTCCTCTCTGGCTTCATCAGCTTCCTGCCTAGCCAATTATGTTAATTATGTTGTTTTCTTTGTTACATTGTTACATCCAGTATATATATACTTCCCCCTTCTTTATGTCCCATTATGCTTGACAACGGTACAAGAATCTGTATCGAAACGTAGCACTTACGAATAAAAAGAAGTTGTTATCCATAAAGTTCCACTAGCTCAATTGCTGGCAAGGTCCGAGGAACAGATTATTGACGAATGCTGACAGTTCGATGAATGCCAACAATTCAGTAATCTGGAACAGCCAGGTGAACTGCTTCGGCGATAGGAAGCGGTTCGGCCTGGTGAAACGGTATGAGTCGGGCTGGTAAATCGGTTCAGGATGGTGAGCCCGGAACGTTGATGTGATCTGAATCAGTCCGTGATCTGGACTGGTGTTGTGATCTGGATTGTGACTGTGATCTGGATAGGTTCGGTAATCCGAAGCATTTAAATGATCTCAGCTGATGGAGAGATCTTAGATCGATCAGATGAACCGGTGAGGCGAGGTGAAATGTTCCAGCCGAGATGAATTGGTTCAACGAGGTGAATCGTTTCGGAGAAGAGAGATGTTACGGCGAGGCGATCCATTTCGGTGCTGTGAATCAAATCGATGATGTGAACTGTTTCGGTGATAAGAAGCAGTCTTAATATTATGGCGAATTGAGTCGATGTCGTAATCCAATACGCTGTGGCGAAACAGTTCGGTCAGGTAAAATGATTTGGTATGGCTAACCGATTTGGTGTGGTGAATTGGTTTTTTTGCGATTTGACGATGTAGATCGGCTGTGTGAGTCAGCTGGCAACACAGGCGGTTTAATGAGGTGGAACGACGAGTAGACATCTGATGATGCACCAATAAAATCATCACCTTCCGACATGGGAATCACCGGACGACGAGCAATTAATACCTGTCGTTGAAAGCAGGGGTTTTGCCCGGTGATCAACTGTTAAAGTGTAATGAGCTCTGTCTGCCAGCCAACGGGAGCAAGCATGTCTATATGCTCTAAAAACGTCCTTGATAAGGGAGCACATTCCCAACAACGTTTGCTCCAGGAACACAGGTCAACACACACATGACGAGTGGGGATCGAAGGATGAAAATATTGTTACAGTGTGCGCAAAATTACGCTACTTAGGGTCAACTACCCATGATATATTTCTCATGTTAACTTGTAAGGAAAAGCTGAGAACTCTCACAATACGTCCACACAGTGGTGCGACAAGAAGAAGAATGATCACTCTGAGGTAGTCATGTGGGTAGACAGGGGAGCGTGCTGCACACTTAGCCGGGGACTAGTAGGGACCTGTCCTATAAGGAGAGCAGCCTGTGGAATACGGGCTTATAGACAAGAGAGGCCTACAGGGAAGTTCTCATTCGTTCCACTCAGCGTCGAGGCAAGAGAGAGAAGTGCAAATCGTGCGATAGGATAAGTTTAAAAATATGAAACTTTCAACAGCTTGAACAAAAATGCTTGAAGTACCTTTGTATGGTTTATTACTTCTTTCTATGTCTAAGAATTTTTTGAATTATTAACTTGCTGTGTTTTGTAACAAACGTAGTTAAAGATTTCATTGTTGTAATAACACTGACGTGTATATATATTCGATACAAAGCGCGACTTATCACTTTTATTCGATTAGGTAACATCATCAACTTTAGATTATGGAGAATAACTAGTTACAATTCAGTAAGCTTTAAATTAGTAAGTTAAATTATGTCTAATCTATTCGAGCTTGGATGTATAATTATTTGTGTTTATCCATTATGTTTCATTATATGAAACATGACAACGTAATAATACCTAAAAAGTAAATTCAAACTATTCTATTGTGTGTGAATTCTTTGTATGTCCTTGAAATTTCGTATATTGTTTCCTATTTATTAGGAAGTTGAAGAAAATATAATCTTCATTAACCTCTAAACCATTACATCTAATTTAATCAATGTGCATAAGAAGTATTTTAGTATCCATTCCCAATGAAGAGTACTAGACACTTACCTCTGTAAAAACATCATAATCCCCTCTCTTGCCGACATAATCATATGATAATGATTAGCAATTGCTATCAAAACTCTTTAAATCCTTCTTCTGATTGACACTAAAGGTAGCATCTCTTTTAAAAGTACAACACACATATGCTTCTCTCACAACACAATAAGAGGGTGCTTTCTGTTGATGAATATATGTGGGTCTGGCTGTGAGAAACTGCCAATTACCTGCCCCATAAACATGTCACCCGCTGTGAGGAGCTGATTAATCTGCCCCATATATCGCGGCTCTCGGACTTAATGAGTTAAGCAGTAAGATACCCCACCAAATCTGGAACCTTCTGAAGCTATTGTGGCTAATACTATTTGACAGTAAGATACCCCACCAAATCTGGAACCTTCTGAAGCTATCGCAGCTGATACTATTTGACAGTAAGATACCCCACCAAATCTGGAACCTTCTGAAGCTATTGCGGCTAATACTATTTGACAGTAAAATACCCCACCCCCTCCGGAACCTTCTGAAGCTATTGCGGCTAATATTAATTGACAGTAAGATACCCCACCCATCTGGAACCTTATGAAGCTATTGCAGCTAATATTATTTGACAGTAAGATACCCCACCCCCTCTGGAACCTTCTGAAGCTATTGCGGCTAATACTATTTGACAGTAAAATACCCCACCCCCTCTGGAACCTTCTGAAGCTATTGCGGCTAATACTATTTGACATTGTCAATCTGATTTTGTTTCCTTATTATGTAATAAAACAATTACAGATTTATAGACAAAAAAGCTATATGTCTCTTTTCAGATACATAGTTTCAGGATCCTGACTGCCAGACGTGGTGAAGATTAAGGTAAAATCACATATAACTTGATTACATATGGAGATTACCTGAACATAATTTGTCTTTTGATCGCTCATCCCCACAAACAAATATAGCAAACTGCTCACAAACAAGAAACTCAAGTTTGCTTAACCATAATAAATTAATAATTTCATCAATTATCTTTATCCATACACTGAAAATTTATGATATATTTTGTGAGAAAGTATTCATACTCAGTATAAGAAGATTGACTGAGGCAGAGACTCCTCTTTGTCTTATGTGCATGCCTTTTAAACAAATTCCAATTATATGACAGCGTGAGCTTGACATGGGTGGAACACTGAGAGTGATAAAGATCCCATTTCCCACGTTGGTGAAACCCACAGGTCAGATATGGTATTGACAAGGCTAGAAATATATTCAGGGCAAAACCAGATTCAAACCCACAATTACAGGTTTCTAGAGTGCCAAATAGATGTAACCCTGCACAGAAATTTGTGGCACCTTAGACAACTGGGCTCCCTATGTCCCACCTCCCCCATTTTTGTTTAAAAATACAGATGGTGATGAGATAAGATGTGTATCAATTACCCTTAGAACACAATATTCACCTCTGCAATGGTTTGAAGTGACTTTGAAGACACACTGGATTAATGGGAATCATGTTGAGTATTGTAATGTAAACCAGCATTTTCCCACTGAACCACCAGGGCAGGGGAATGAAGGTTCACAGAGCACATTGTTTGTGACATTTTCCATCATCCACTGCTTGGTGCATGTATACTAGGCACATAAAGAAACGGTGCATACAAAAATTTAAAATCGAAGTTTATCAAACTTGTGTAGACACATAAGGATTTCAACTCCGAGATTAGTGACATGTATCCAACATGCATGCACGTGCCACGTTCCGTGACGTCAGTGGGTTCAATTAAAATTCTCCTGACTTGTTATTGTCTCATGATCCCTCCATTAAAGTTTATATGTACCTTTGACATTGTTATCGTACTTATCAACTGGGATAATATTTTGACAATGCACAGTTTCTTTATGTGGCTAGTATACAATGCTGGGATCTGCTTTGTTGCAGGTGTTAGACCTCAGAATGTGGTGGAAGGACCCATTTGAACAGGTGAGGTGAGGTGAAATTGGGTTTAATAATATAACGTCATGCTTGAAAATATTTCGCTCATACTTAAGCTGGTTTTAGAGTGCTAGCCCACTGAGATACCATGCCGCAGTGAAGCATGAATACCCCACTCAGACACATTATACTGACTCTGAGCCGACCAGTCCTTGTTGTACCCATTAATGCCGAGCGTACAGACATGGTTCTTGTACCATGGGCAATCAACGTTGTTATCCATAAAGTTTCTCTAAATTGTTCTTCCCTACTTCAAAAATGCAACTAAAAGAAATTTTATCAAATACATGTAGATACAACAAATGTGATTAATGCATGCATCAATATGAGAAGATTTTTTCCGGTCCATAGGTGGAATAAAACATTTTTCCTTGGTTTTGGTTGTGTCTGAAGAAAACAAAATGCCTCCATTACATCCATCTACCTATAGAGTCCATTCTTAAAACTATTTGATCACAAATGTTTCCTCTAACTCACCAGCAAGTCTGGGTCCTCAGTGTCAGACAGCTCTTCATCACTGCCAATGTCTCTCATACTCTCAGCAGCCATTTTGTTAATCACGGACATGTCCAGTGGAGCTGGAAACAAATTCCCAACATCAGGTTCTTTGTTTGTTCTTTAAAGCCGCACTCAGCAATATTCCAGCTATATGGCGGGGACCTGTAAATAATCGAGTCTAGATCAGACAATCGATCTATGCAAATGGGATACGATGACATGTCTCAACCAAGTCAGCGAGCCTGACCACTCAATCCCAATAGTTGTCTCTTACGACAAGCATGGGTTGCTGAAGACCAATTCTAACCAAATCTTGACATGTTCATCCTGGTTGTTAACACCACAAGAATCACATAATAGTGAAATGATACCAACAACCACTTTCTCAAAACAAGAGTCATCAGAAGATGACATATCCCCCCGGCCCCCACATATTTGAAAGAACAAATCAGCTGACAGTTACTTAAAGTCCAGCTTGATGTCTTTTTAGATTAAGTCTGAATCGTTTCCATGGAAACCGAGAAAAATAAAATTGGCAAAAATCTGTAAATAGCAAAAGGCACCACTTTAGCTCATGCTTGATATATCTACCAAGTCTTGAAGAAAGATATTGAATGGTTTTCGAGTTATGCTCCAGAAACAAAATGATTACGGACGGAGAGACAAGCTGTTGACTATATCCCCCCACATTACATGCCAGGGAGATAACAAGCTTCAGAATGAAACCAGACTGTTGTTCCCTTATTTACGTAGGCAGAATGACAGTTACAATGGCAGAATAGTAGATGACAAACTATCTTGTTTTCAAATGAAGCCGAGAGCTCTCAAATGTTAGGAAACAAAGGAAATATATATTGCAAAGATACTGAGACAGGGCGTTCAGGATATCAGTTCCCCCTATAAACAGTGATAAACATATAATCATTATTAAACCAAATCTACATCTCTCTCCAGGATGATGACCAACCTTTCCTCTTGGCTGCTGGTTTCTTTACCTCACCACCAGTCAGAGCTGCCAGCTCCGCCTCCAAGTCATCATCATCATCATCCATTCCTCCATGCATTGTGTCATCCTCCATACCACCAAACCCCATCTGGTCAAATTGAAATCAATACATTGATATTGGGTCACTAGTAGAATACATTAAGTCTTATCAGTTTATAAACCTTTAAACATGCTAAGTTCACCATTGGCAATAGAGTAAACACATTTCTGTTGTTTAGAATCAAAATTGTGTAAACTGGAAATTATTTGTGTGAACATAATAACCAAACTAATACTACTGCTACTACACTATCAACATAATTAAATATATAGTAAATATATACGATAACATCGAGAATGGAAGCAAATCATTTATGCTGCTCTGCTCACAGGATTCCAAATAAGCATGTCTGTTTGAATCATTAAACCAATCAATCATGGTAGCATGCACATAAATTTTGATACATGTGAATTTTCTTCACTTAATCAATTTTTTTACAATGTCAGAAACACGTTTGGTAGAAACATAGAGAGAATTGTTGAATTTCTACATTCAGGATGAGACAGATGGATAACAGACAGTTTTAGATCTACACCTTTGATATGACAATAGTGTTATGAAGTTTGGAAGCAGCGTTTAAATCAGTTTGTTGAAAGATATCTGTTTGATGTTGAACAACACTCAATTCTGCACACATGCAATTATCAAACATATTTTCTTGATTCTGAGTTATGTGTATATATGATAAGACAAGATAATTCTTATATATATATATATATATATATATATATATATATCCTTGTGTAATCGGTTTTCGGTCATGTAAGGTTTGTCGACCAACGTAACATAAAATGCATGAATAAATCGATAATAAACAAACCTACCTCGTTTGTTTGTTATTTATTTATGATATTCGAATATCTGACGGATTAACCTCGTGTTTCACCCGCAAAGCAGGCCTCATAGTTCGCTACGCAAAGATCGTGAATGCGGAAGTGACGTCATCTGTTTTCGTTCACTTCATTGGTTCTCCGTAAAACAGAAATCTAATAGCAGTATTCGTGCTATGCTGATATTTTTATAATATAAAGTTAATAAACATCCAGTCCAAAAAGAATATTTGTAATAGAAACTATGGTCGTAATAATTTCATGTCAAAGTTAATCATGATAAGACTTTGCTAGTTACATCACATGTCCAGGCATGTTTCACTCCTCCGGTTCGCGCTGACAAGGGCACCAAAACTCATCAGAAGATCTCACTACACATACGGGGGTGCACAGCTTGAGGTGGACCCAATGACAGCATGCAGGATGAGTACACTGGGCCCATGACAAAGAAATATTCATTGCAGTTTCAAAAGTTAAATGAGTATTTTGGAAAATCGTTATAAGAGATGACCCTATCCAGTTTCCATATATTTTTTTTATGACAGCAACGCCACGTGATATGTCATGCGATAATGATACGTCATACCATAAACAAGCAGACGATGCTATACTGAAAAGGTGGAGCTGACGATATTTTAGAGATAGCTTTTTGATTACATGAAAATTTATGCATTAGTAAACTCGGTTCTAAAACGTAACATTTACATGTGTTTGCAGTCATGTACCTTACTAAATTTCACACGAAGCATTTTGTTAGTCAGAGCTGAAGCAGTCAACATCCTGCTAAAAATAACCTGTCTGGTGACGTAATATCTCGCTAATAACCGCGAGAAATGAACATGCAAACGGCCGACCGAAAACAGATGTTGAACGAAAACAGATGACTCGAGGATATATATATATATATATATAAAGAAAGTGATGAGAATACCGAGGGTACAGTAGTACATATATAAGAAGAAGTTTTTGAAATAATCACACGACACGGATCTTCTCCAACATGTTTCACTTTTATCTTCAGGGAGAAGTGATTACAGTTAAACGGATTATGTTATGACGTCAATTTGTCATGACGTCACAATGCAACATATATATATATACATATATTCATATGTATCATGATAACCATAATAACATCAAGGTCACCATGACATTTCAGAGGCTCAAACATCATACACATATACTATCATTGGATATAGATCTGTTCTGTTAGTTTGAGTCATCAATTTGTTAAGATACGATTGGGTATGGCTCGTCCAGATTTTGAGTACAAGTCTGCCAAAAAGTATGGGTATGGATAGCCATGTTGCCCATGTGTTTAAATTGTTTGGTACCCATATATGTGAGTATCTAACTAATCACTATCCTTTCATCCTAGCTTCAAAATGGCATTGTTAGTTTGAATTCTCCTATAAACACATAATTTCATCACTATTATTTTATACATCAATATATTTTTAATTGAATGAAAAAGATGATGCCACTTGAAGGATGTGGTTTATTACAGGGGTTAGTTATCAATTATTAAAAATCTAATTCGGAAATTTGAAATGTATGTCATCCAAACTATGTCGAGAAGCATTTAGGAATCAGATCGTCTTGGCATGTCAAATTGCATAAACATTCAGAGTCGTTGATTTCAAGCTACAGAAATCAGGAAATGGTGACGATAAGGTTGATTCACTGTCACACGACACTGTTATTTACGCACACCGACAGACAGATGTAAACGAATAGATAAATCGATGGGAATAGTTTATAAAGTCATAAAACTAATATTCACTTGATTCATTAGCGCTGTCCCCTTCCTCGATTGAGTCTGAGGAGCCTGTTTCTTCTTCCCAAACATTGTTTGCGTTCTGCTTGTTTACTTTCCGGAAGTACCATAAAGTGGAAGAGTTATTTCCCTTTAAAAAGCGCCACCTGTAAAAAAACAAGGGGGGGTAATAGAGGTGACTACCGCACCACACAATCCTTGCTTCAACTGACTCTGGTAGTTAAAATCATGGTTCGATTCCCCATATGGATACACACCGTGAACATTTCGTCTTTTCAACCAATGTTATTTTATTGCAATCATGCTAAAAGCGACGTAAAAGCTTACTATGACTTTCGTGTATTCAGTAAGACTTGTTTCATACAAATGCATTAATATCAAATATACGTGACCGTTCGCTTCCCATTCAGTTTGGCAAGATAGAGATGAACTTCAGTAGTAGTCGTCTCACATTATAGGGTTGGTTGGACATATATCAGTTGGTGCTTCTATGTTCTGCATACAACAAAATAAATAAGCGACATCTTCCATATAGGTTCTAGAGCATTTAAGCGATCTGATTAATATAACACATTTGAAAGATATACAAAACCAAAAGTAGTTTTACGTAATACAAACAAAAACAATTCTTAGGTTCATGTATCACCAGAGCATTTCTACAGCGATCGTGTGTGTGTGTGTGTGTGTGTGTGTGTGTGCGCGTGCGTGCAGGGTGTGTGTGTGTGTGCTCGAACCCCCCTTTTGAAAATGACTTAAGACCACATTGAAGAATTTTTGTGGCGTTGGCGGAGCCAGTGGGAGGTTCAGGGGGTTCGAACCTCCAGGAAATTATGCTTTGCTTGGTTCTGGGATCCTGTTGGTTTCTACGATAAAGTTTGTTTGTAGATATACCTTTTTACTTCAATTCTGCGATTTAATGACAGTCTAAAAACATTGTTGGCATGACGGTTTAATTATGTTCCTTTGTCACAGCTATTGTGTACGCTTTTGGTGAGTTCTACAGGAGAATTTGACGATACGGGTTAGGATATATGTTATTAAAATGACTCAGCGGAGTGATGCACCAAAAACCCTAGATAATAATCAGTCACGACTGTTTGCCGAAAAACAGATCCGACTGGTCACAAAGGGGCTAAATGGTATTAAAATTGGTGCCAAATCACTGAATCACTGAAAATCTGTGATGAGATGTTTGAGAAAAGAGCAAGCGTTTCCTGCTCTAACGCTAGCATGCGTGTCTAGTTTTTCTTACTCCCAAGTGAGTGAATGAGTTTAGTTTTACGCCGCTTTTAGAAATATTCCAGCAATATCACGGCGAAGGACACCAGAAATGGACTTCACACATATATGTGGGGGATCGAACCCGGGTCTTCAGGGTGACAAGTGAACACTTTAACCACTAGGCTACCCCACCACCCTATTCCCAGGGGTCACGGGGCTGTGAACACACATAATTATTAGCTTCAATACAGACAATGGTACCACAAACAGTCTTTTCGAGATACATCATGAGTATTGGAAGACTTGTTTCATTTTCATGCAGTATTCAGGAGATTTGTTTGTAAGTTGATCAGAAGGTGGGTATCCATCATCCAGCTATTTGCCCCCTGTTTCAGTCTGCTTCCCGGACCTTAGAATGTTTTTCATAATCCAGCTTTTTTGTTGAAATGCATGAACTTTAATGAATTCCCGCCGCTCCGCTAACATCCTGATTTGTGGCTTCTGAGCCAGTGGAACAGGTCCACCTGCATGAAACCCATCCTTTAGAAACGCATCACCCATATATTTTCATCAATGTTGCTCATGACTGGAAATACGAATTTTAGGAACGTATGGTGAAAAAGGTGTAAAGGGAAACACGTATGTTACACGTGTTACTGTTTTTACGGGTGCACCACAACACGACAATGGAGACGGTCTTTAACCTTAATTACACGGAATGCACGTGCTTTGTGACTTGTTTCATCCTGTTTATACCGATCACGTCGGTTTAACAGGACACCCTTTGCTTGCTAACTGTAATTCACCATTCCAATGTCAAGTGACGCCGCTGCGATGTCATGCTATCAGCTCAGGAGCGAGACAGCAGTAGGTTGGAATGTCAACACGCAAGGTGGCTCAGAGATTCACTTGGCTCTATTCCACTATTGTTAGATTGTCCCAACGTCAGCAGCAGACCCTCAGCAGCAGTGATCGTCCATGTCCTGGACAGCCACGTGTGACAATCCCCAGACAGGATCGCCATATTGTTCTGCCCTAGTAACCGATTTCTTCTTTGAGTGGCATTGTTTAAAAGCTGGAGAGTAATATACAGACAAACTTTGTGGATAAACAACTTCTTTATTCAGTATATGCGACGTTTTCGATACAGATTCTTGTATCGTTGTCAAGCGAGTATGAGTAAGGTAGATAACAGGGGACTATATATACAGTAAATCCAATCAACACCAGAGTTAAAGAACACCAGGTGTCTACAAACAAATTGGACAAGAAATCAGCTATCTCTGAACATATACAGAACAACCCCAATCATCAAATCAACTGGACAGAGTACACAATACTGGCAGCCAACCAACCTGACTTCACCAAACGGAAATTAACCGAAGCCATCCGCATCAAACGGCACCGACCCCTGATCAATAAAGACCAAGGTTACTTCATCCCCTCTGCGTACGATGAACTCATCAACCAACCGTAGCTGGTTGTATTTAAGATCGGAAGGAATAGACTTGATCATCTGAGAAAAAACTAATCCAAAACAATTTCATGCTAAATTCAGTAAACATACAAAGACTAGTATTGACGTTCCATTGTCTGTGTTTCATTCTTATTTCAAAGATCTTGCAGGTGACTCTGATTATATATGTGTTTGAAACCCAGATCTTGCAGGTGACTAACCACAGATTGTATATTAACTGTCTAAAGCGTGATACACACGGCCCCGATTGTATATTACATGAATATTTTATTGAATTTGATGTATATTTAATGCCTTCCCTATACAGAATATATAATTGTAACTTGATCTACAGGTTTTCCCCAAAGCTGGGCCTCTGCAGTTATTATACCAGTTTTTCAGAAAGTGGATAGAAAAAATCCAAGTAATTATCGAGGGATAAGTATTATCAGCTGTTTTAAAGCTTTCTAGAATTCTGAACCAAAGGCTTTTGGATTGATCTGCATATTATAATATTATTCCAGATTCTCGGTTTGGTTTTCGCCCTCATCTTAGTACTGTTGATGCTATATTCTCTCTTCATTCATTAATTGGTAGACCGCCGCCATATAGCTGGAATATTGCCGAGTGCGGCGTAAAACTAAACTCACTCACTCATTAATTGGTAAGAGCCTTAACAATGATATACGTATGTATTGTGCTGTCGTTGATTTTAAGCGTGAATTTGACAGATGTAAGCTATGCTATAAGATGTCAAGGTTATGTGTAAATGGAAAATTTGTCAAAGTAGTTGTATTTGGAAAATTGATGTCAGGTGTTAGCTTTCATTGAATAATTCGAATAAGTTTAATGCAAGGCGAAGTTTTGCCTCCCATTCTATTTTCCTTTTATCTCAGTGATTTTGAGACTTCCTTTCTAGAAGATAATTGTATTCCTTATAAATGTAAAGCTCTAAGTATTTTTCTGTTAATGTATGCAGACGACCTTGTCTTACTTTCTGAATCAGTAGAAGGTTTACAAAAGCAGTTAGATTCATTGTTGAATTACTCTGATTGGGTAATGGGGACTGAGTGAGTTTAATTTACGCCGCACTCAGCAATATTGATATGGCGGCGGTCTGTAAATAATCGAGTCTAGACCAACAATCCAGTGATCAACAGCATGAGCATCGATCAATAATACGTTTACAATTGCTCAGATCCAGCTTGCAGATCAAGATAGAAAGGCCCTCTTTTCACTCTATAATAATGTAAGGTCACTCTCTCTTAATCCTGAATCTCCTGTGTCCGTTTTTGATTGTTATGTTGACAATATATTAGGATACGCATCGGAGGTCTGGGGTTCCTATCAAGCAGTTAATATAGAAAGATTACACTTAGATTTTTGTAAAAGATTGTTAGGAGTTAAAAAATGTACATGTAATTCTATGGTTTATGCAGAATTAGGTCGTTTTCCTCTCATATATCTGAGACAGTTTAATATAATAAAGTATTGGTGTAAGTTGCTTCACACAAATAATCTTATTCTTCGAAATTGTTATGAAATGTTTATATGAGGAAGTGGAGACCCGTGGTGTTAATAACTGGGCGTATCAGGTGAAGAATATTTTATCTAGCATTGGTGTCAATGAATTATGGCTTAGACAAGAGATATGTCCTGCATACCTGCCTGTTGTAAAGCAGCGAATCTTAGATCAAGCGTCTCAAGAGATTTTTAGTAATTTATCTAATTCATCAAAATGTGTAATTTATAGAAATATTATTGATAATTGTACACTGCAATATTACCTATGTAAAGCTATCCCGCACTCTTTAGGAAATATTTATCTAAATTCCGACTAAGTTCTCATAATCTAGCTATAGAAACTGGCAGATACAGTAATGTTGAAATAACAGAAAGAAAATGTTTTTTTTATGAAGACGATATTGAAGACGAGTTCCATTTTATATTATTATGTCCATATTATAATGATTATAAAAAATTATATATAAAACCATATTACTACAGATGTCCGTCAATGCATAAACTTATTCAACTTTTAAGTGTTAGAAATGTAAAACAGTTATGTAATTTAGGTAAATATTTGTATAAAGCCTGTTGTCTTAGAAACGAAATGATGCTAAATAATTTGTTAATTTTCTGTTCATTCTCCATTATAATCAATGTCCAGTCATCCACCCGTACCAACTCTCGTGTTTGTTAGCACTAATGGTTGTCTGTAAAGACAAAGGTAAATAAAGAATCTGAATCTGTATTACTTGGACAATCACCCGTAAACCCCCTTGGCTTCTACTTATATCCCTTGTCACTGGCTTCTACATATAATCCGTCATCACATTGTTACTGTACATCACGTCCTTGTTGTTTTAGTTAATTATTTACTGTATAGTCCCCTGTTGTGGTATCTTCCCATAAGACAGACCTCCCAAAAGACAGACCGCTTAAAACAACACATGTTGTGGTTG